CTCTCTCTCTGCGCAAGAATTGTAACTACATGTCATTTTGTTCCAAAGATACTATCAAAGAGTGAGTACATTTTATTGGACCCCTATGTATATATACAGAATGTTTCACGACTTTAGGGCATAACTTCAGGAGGTGATTTCCTAGGTCTTTGTGATCAAAAAAGTTCATATAAACATGTGTCCGATTTTCGACAGTTACAGAGTTATGAGCATTTTAAACTCAGAACAGAAGGTAACGATTACTGACAACGAAATAAAATTATATAAAAGCATAATACATAATACATTTAAAGTATGAATGTAAAGTTAACTTCGTGAAATTACCTTTAATTTTGATTTATTGGTGCTTAAAGCTGATTTTCGAAAATGCCACCGCCGGCTGCAACACAGGCTGCTGCTCGGTTGTGAACCGCGCCGGACATACCAACCCACCCTGCCTTAGGTATACATCTCAAATGTCGAGATAACGAGAACGCTCTGTCTGTTGCTGGCTAAAAATAGCGACCCGATAGCTGACATATGCGGTTCACACGAGGGCGTGTACAGGAATGAAAAAACGGTCATAACTCTGTAACCGTCCAAAATCAGACACATGTTTATATGAACTTTTTTTATCACAAAGACCTAGGAAATCACGTCCTGCAGTTATGCCCTAAATTCGTGAAACGCTCTGTATACTATATATACAGAGCGTCCCAGGAGGAATGTGCCAGACTTCGGGAGGGTGTTCCTTATGTTAAAGTATGCCGATATAACCCAAAACACCTATGTCCAAAGTTGAACGGTTACGGAGATAATGGCCCAAGAAAAGTGTGGTCTTCTGGCGGGTCCACGCACTGTACCTGTCAGCTGACAAGTCTTATCGATGTTTGTCCTCGAGTGTGGTGATGACGGCTCACACTAGCCGTAAGCTTATGTGCTACCTTCAGGGTACGTTGCGGTAGTGTTGTGAATGGTTGGCAGTTTAGTTGTGCGAAGTTGCTGAAATGCCTTTTGTGTTTTCACACATGGAATATTGTGATTAGTCTACGAAACTAAGGTCGATTCGTGAGAAGCACTGTGGGATCGTATTTTTGCAGCAGCAGAACACATATGTTACCATCCAGGCAACACTGCTTCTGCTACACAATCCTTCATGATACGTGCTGAGAACTGCACTGCAGCTGGCAGAGGACACTTTGAACAATTACTACAAAGCAGGTACTGTATTTTAGTACAGTTATGTAGTCGGCTTATACCAGAATGCGCAGTCAGCCATGTTACATCAGTGCTTGCCATACATGTGTCATGTATAGTGCTTGGAACCCTAAAGACAACTACGACATGGCTTGCGAGTTTTTTTGTAGTTCAATTTAATAGCTTCATGTCTCTCACAAGTTACTTTGATGTTACGTACATTATTAACATTACAGAAACCACATATTCCTGCCAGTTTTAATATGTATTTGGTAATCAACAAGTGTGTAACACCTGTCAAAGTTTCACACTTCTCTGGCCATTATCTCCGTAACTGTTCAACTTTGGACATAGGTGTTGTAGGTTATATCAGCATACTTTAACATAAGGAACACCCTCCCGAAGTCTGGCACATTCCTCCTGGGACACNCAGTGCTTGCCATACATGTGTCATGTATAGTGCTTGGAACCCTAAAGACAACTACGACATGGCTTGCGAGTTTTTTTGTAGTTCAATTTAATAGCTTCATGTCTCTCACAAGTTACTTTGATGTTACGTACATTATTAACATTACAGAAACCACATATTCCTGCCAGTTTTAATATGTATTTGGTAATCAACAAGTGTGTAACACCCGTCAAAGTTTCACACTTCTCAGGCCATTATCTCCGTAACTGTTCAACTTTGGACACAGTTGTTTTGGGTTATATCGGCATACTTTAACATAAGGAACACCCTCCCGAAGTCTGGCACATTCCTCCTGGGACACCCTGTATATATATATATATATATGCAAGGCAAATTCACAGCTGCAACAGTGGAAAAAATAAATATGTGTTTAGTCACTTCAGTATAAATACCCAGATAGAAAAAGTTCGTTTGGCTCCTACAACCCACAAAAATCTGTGATGTCCTGTTTAGAAACTTCTTTTAGAATCCTGTCCAAGCTCATTTTGTCAGTTGACTGTATAGACATTTAAATAACATGAAATAGTTAGTTTTGCAAAAAAAAAAAAAAGTGCATTTGTTTCGGTTGTATAAACTTTGTTTAGCGAAGAAAGATGCCTCAAAACGTTATATCTTTTGGGATAGAATGCTGTGTATTCGACTGAAAGTCACCTGACATTTTGAAGAAACACGCTATCTCCATCTTCAGAGTCTAAGAATAAACCAAGCTCAGCTGATGTTCAAACTAACAGGATATATACCAGTCAGATGTGCTGGAAAACAACGATGTCACATAACTTTTTTATGTTTTGTTAACGACAGCAGACCGACCTGTAGTCACTCCCCTACTTTCACACTTAAACTTCAAAATACATGATGTACCTTATACCTGTGTAAATAAAGCATCAGCCTGTGTCTACATCTGATTATTTCTACCTGCCAACACAACACCCTCCACTGTAATATTTATGCTTAGCTGTTTTATATACAACTGATTCTGTAACATCAAGCACAGTACATGGCCGCTGATACTGCAGCATTTTTTACTTATGGGTAAAAGCTGCCAGACCCATACACCAATATGGAAGAAGTAAAAACATCTGCAAAGAAAAAGCAATGCCATTTATAAGTTTTAAAAGATATTATGACTATAGATTTCTTACCTTGGGGGCTCCAAGCTGTCTGTACTGTCATCATCTTGTTCATTCCACCTTTCTTTCCTGTCCCAGTCTCTGTCCCTATCATGAGTCTTTGAATCTCTCCCACCATGTGGTTTTGCTTGAGACTCTTTTCCACCTCTTGATTCTCTTGACTCCATATAGTCTCTCTCCCTTAGAATATCACTTAATCTTGATCGCCCATCCCTCCCTTCCCTCACAGTCTCTCGTGAAACCTTAATTTCTCTTGAAACTTTCATATCTCTTGATTTGTTCACTTCTCTGCCATCACGTGAATCTCTCACACGACAGTTCTGTGATCCTTGCCCTCTTCTGTCAAAATCTTCTCTACTTCCCTTCCTGGTTAGATCAGGATGCCTTTTGTGATCATACCTCTGGTATCTTCCTTTGTTAGCATCATAATCATATCTCTCTCTCTCATCATCTTCATCTTCTGGGTAACGGTCGTCATCCTTATATCGGTAATCTTCATGATAACGATCCAACTTTGAATCCCTGTCTCTATTTGACCTTCTTATCCTACAAAACACAAGTACACCAAAACTGACAAAAATATACACAACAGGTAAATGTGATGTCACTAACTAACTTTATGGAGCTGAGCCCTTCTTGAGAAGCCACCAACTGTGTAGCTACTCACAAACTTCCCATCAATTGATGGTACCCGAAGGTTCATTAACATGTTCACTCCACTGGTCCCTATCCTAACTCCAATCGATCCAGTCCATACCACCCCATTCTGTCTCTAATATACATTTTAATATTATTCACCCATCTACATCTTGGTCTTCCTAGTGGTATTTTTCGTACTTGCACTACAGTATGATTCAATGCAAAACACTGTGTTCCAGAAGTTGGTAAATCTGGTCAATGTACATACTTCAATGATATTCTCAGTATTAAAAACGGTGCATATTTTAAGATGGCTTTATTCAATATGGAGTTCTCACTGCATACAAAACACTGGGAATGGATAAATTGACAATCTGTGTAAATGAGCCACTAAACAATCACAGCCACTGATCAAATGGAAACACACCGCAGCATCTCCTCTAGGAAAATTTGGGATTCCATTTCTGTTCTTCACTTCTTCTGCAAGATTTATGCTCCCTTTGAATGGCCTAATATTCTGATAAGTTTGCCTGAGTGTTCTTCTTACTCTTAATTTGTTAGAGTGAAGCATTAGTTTACATGTAAATGTTTCAATGATCTTTGTTCCCTTCTTTGTTATGTAATGGGATGTTATCCACTGAAATTGTATATCCTTCTGAAGGCCTTTCAGCAATTTAATGGACAAATGGATTTATGTTATGTTTTTGCTTGGAAGTGCATCAAATTTCACTATTGACTGTATTGCTGAAACTTAATCACTCAATATAATATCCTTTTCAAAGGACCTAATTCTACCAAAGAGTTGTATTAATGCAGTGTTCACTATCTCTAACTCACCATCATAGTGAGTTGCATGTTGTCCATGAGTCAAATGAAAACTAAACGATTTGTAGTAAATTGCTGCACCAGGATTTCCATCCTGGCCTGAGAGAACTATCAGTATAAGCATATGACCAATCTCGTTTAAGATATATTGCATGGATTGCTTCTAAAGCTACCAATTTCACTACTGATAGATATGTATCTTTTTTTTAGTCTGGAAGGCATTCAATTTCACAGTCTACTCCAATGTAGTCTACAGGACAAAGGGGTAACGACAGTTTTTCTGGTTCTACCTGAGGAATGTACTTTTGTCATAACAGCATTATCTTTGCAAGAAACCATTCTGAGTTTTAAGATTTCTGTTTTGATATTTGTATTATGACCAACAGGAACTGTAAGACAAATTTTTCAATCTTTCATGCAGAGTTAATGCCATTTTTGGTTTACTTCAAAAAAATGAAAGTATGTGTATGCGATCTCCATGCTGTCTGTATTCCTGTGTATCCCACCCTATCAACTTCTGAACTGGTGAATCAATTTTTATGACACTTTGTATGTATATCACGATACATGAGCCCATCCCAATGGAGTACTTCATAAATCCATTCTGCAAGTCTCTGCATCTATATGTTTATTCCCCTACCATTGTTAGGCAATGGCTCAGCAAAAATTCCTGTTATTGCTAGGCAACAGTTTCCTAAAAATGTTACTCCAGCAATGAATACACAAGCAACAACAGAAGAATTGCTACAAGTGATATTTTCTACGGGGCCCATCATATATCAAGGAAAGTAAGCGATTAGTTCTTCCCAGATCTTCTTGTTTTCCTTTTCGATTTTCCAAGGTTGTTCAAGGTGAGAACTTAAAAAGAGGTTAGTGGAGTTGATTTGATTGCTAATCTTAGAGCTTAATTTTGCATCACTTCTAATTTGTTCATGATGGCTGGTGTTGAAGCTTCAATGCTTTATGCACACACTGAAGGGCCTTATGCACAGCATTCAAAACAGACCTTGAACTACCCAATTTGCTTCCTGAAGCCTTTTCAGAATATTCAGTTTTTCTATTTTGATTTTTTTAAATTTTCTTCTCTTATGGTTTCTCCATGCCAAATTTTCATCTAAGAACATTCCTAAATAGGGTGAAACCTCAATATTACACTTTTAAACGGGAGACCTAAAACAAATGTAAAATCTGGGTGAGTGTAAAATCAGGGAAACAAGAATGATTTGGTTAACTTCAGATAATCATTTAAAATATATGGTTGAACATCAAAAATGTACGTGTAAATGAAAATATGGTCCTTGATTTATTTTACGATGCTTTACCAGTGCTGTGTATATGTAACATCTGTAAGATCAGATGGTGATTATAACTGATGAATAGAAAGGATACAGAAGGAAGTGGTAACACTCTATGTCAAGGTACTATCCCAGCACTTGCCTGGACAGATTGGCAAATATGATACATATCTATAAGAGGCAGTCAAATGAAAACAGGTCACCAAGCATAACTCACATAGCCCACAAGTTGGTAACACTGGAATTTGCTTACAATACAAACATCTGGTGGGGACTCGGGAAAGCAGTGACAATGTGCTCTTGCACGCTAGTCATTTGTTTATTGTGATGATAGTAAGGTTAGGGCTATGTGTGGTCATCCAACATCAGTAATGGAGGCGGGTAAAGAAGAACAGCAAAGTGTAGTGCGCTTTTTGACTGCTGAAGGAGTAGGAGGATGAGAAATTAATCGTCATATGTCTGTTGTTTACGGTGAACACAGCATGTCACATTCGCGTTCAGAGAGGGACATGTGTCACTGCAAGATGATGCTCGCCCAGGACAGATTCATCATGTGATCACTCCTGATGTTATTGCTGCGTTGGGTGGTCATATCTGGGCAAACCAACTGTTATGGCGTGAAGGGGGGAGTGGAGGATTCTCTCCACCTCTTCCGCCATCCATGCCGTTGCGCCCTTGGGGAATGGCCAGTTGCAAGGCTAAGCGCTTTGTAATTGTCTCATTAGCTACCTCTTAGCTGTGAGTTCACAGTATCGATAACATGGGAGGTACGGGAGTTCGGGGAAATAGAGGGTTAGACTGTGGGGGTAAGTCATTAACACACGCATGCCCCTTACTTGGTCTACTTTCATCTACTAATATATACACTTATATACATATCACTTTCGTGGCTGACGGTGGCCGGTTATGTACACATTGTAATTTAGATAAATACGCACTTGGGTTCACCACCCTAACTCTCGTGGTAGTTCCTACATTCCTGCTCAGGGCCTACTCTCTCTCTCGCTCTCTCTCTCTCTGCCCTAACCTTGTAAAACAGCACTTTAATAATATCTCACTTTATATCCATGACTGATATGAACAGTTCGATTTACTTTGTGTAGGAAGCTAATGGTGTCCCCTCTGTCTGGCATGACCATGGCTCTGGCCCTCCTGGCCCCTGGCTGGCTACTCACTTAACATTGTTCAGTCAGATACATGGATAGATAGATTGATCAATCAGTAGATTGATCGCTCCTCCAGTTGTGTTAGCAACTTTATAATCTTTTCCCTGCTGACTCCTGTCTTTGGGGTAAGCTCCGCCCCTTAATTAGAGCGAATTCTCCCCCAAAGGTCTGTCCTGGTTGGTCATCTCGGTAGAGAAGGTTGGATCTGCTCATGCCGTCTCGCTGAGTTGGCACTCTGTACGCTTTGGCCGTCTGCAGTCTGTTCCGCGTGAATCAGCAGTACTAAGCAATGTGACAACTTTCCACTTACGTTGCTACTTCCTGCATTTTTCCACTTACGTTGCTACTTCCTAACTGTGAACCCAAGATAACTTAATACATAAAAGTTACAAAACCCTTGCCGAAATTCTATGGCATTACACTGACAGATCACTTTGGAAGAAATTAGTCTTTTAATGGGAATAAGTCAAGGTTCTGTACAAACCACTGCGACAAAACACCTCCTGTACCGCAAAATCGGCACGCAGTAGGTTCCACATCAACTCACAGAGGAACAGAAGACTCAGAGAATGGCTGCATCACTGGCTCACTTGCAACGATACCATGAGGAAGAGTATGATGTTCTGTCCCGTATTGCCACTGGGGACAAAACCTGGTGCCACCATTCTGACACCCGAGAGGAAATGGCAGAGCCAAAAGTGGAAACACACGAATTCTCCTTCATCAAAAAAATCCAAAGCCGTACAAACAAGTTCCGGTAAAGTGATGATGATGATGATGATGATGATGATGTTCTTCGACTGCAAGGGCCCTCTGTTTGTCAAATTTCTTGAGCATGGGACCACAATCAGTGCACAGCGCTACGAAGGCACTTTGCACAAACTGAGACGTGCCATAAAGTCAAAATACCCTGGAATGCTCTCAAACAGCATTATCCATATTCATGATAATTAATTACATATGGTGCCACAGTATGGTGGCCCAGAGTTAAACTCAAGACAAGCAAGGCAGAACTTGGCAAATTGCAAAGGTTGGCTTCCTTGGGTATTACCGGAGCATTTCGAACATCTCCAACAGCTGCATTGGAGATACTCCTTGGACTCCACCCACTGCATATACAGTTGGAGGCAGAGGCCAGGGCAGGAATCTACCGTCTCCTGTGCAGTGAGCAATGGAAACCTAGATCCGATGGTTCCGGCCATGGATACATAACTCAGGGCATGAAAAAAGAACCCATATTACAAATGGGGTCTGACAAAATGATACTGAGACATGTATATGAAAAACCCTTCACAGTCAGATTTCCTGACAGAAGTGAATGGGAAGACAGGTTTCGGCCCGATAGAAAAGGGGGACTGATCTGGTANCAGCCAAGTGACTATTTCGATGCCCCCATGTACAAAACCCTGCGCTTTGAATAAAGCGCAGGATTGCTGAGGGGATAATTAAAAGGGGAAGCACAATAGACCACTGTACGTCACGGTGCAAGGGCCAAGAAGGCCTACCCCTCATATATTCATTCATTACTCATGATAATGCATGCCCCCACACTGCCAACTCTGTGAGGAATACACTATACAGATTTGGTTGGGAAGTGCTTCAACATCCCCCCTATAGCCCA